TTTTTAATTAGAGGTTTTATAAGCATAATTGGACCGATTATGGTCCCAAATTTTCTGTTTTTCCGGTTTGATCGGATCGGGTCTGGTCGAGTTTTAAAACACTTCCTTTGACAAGTGTAATGGACTCCAAATACAAATTAAGAGACATTAAATATATTATTAATAAAATAGCATACTATTTAAATTTTGACGTATCTATCACTTATTTGAATTTAGAAGACACGTTAAGTGCAAGGTATGTAACGTACGCACAACGATTGATTGCAAATATTAGTCAAACACCCATCGTACCCACCCTTTATGTTACTCTTCAAGACGATGAAGCATAACTTTTGTCCTTATTTGAAAGCATTAGGGATAAGAGATAAGAAGTATGGGGGTTCTTATAGTATGTTTCTTGCATGTAATCCGACTTGGATGCAGGTCTTGTGGGAATGCTTACTGAATTAGTTAAATATTTTAATCATCAAACATTTATAAGTGTAGAACCCTGTTGATGCTATACAATTTGATTCACTTAATTTTGGTTGAATAATGAACAAAAATATTGTATCATTTTTTGCCATTATAAAAGATTTACAAACACCTCCAGTTAGCACTGTAGCTTTGGATGCCACTTTTATTGTAGGTAAGAGAACTCTGTTCGAGGTAAGGAGCCTACTCAAAGAAGATATTCTCGAAACATCGATGTGCATAAATGATTAATAAGATGCACATTTTTTAATACATCTATATGAGGAAATCTCTTGTAATCAGGTAAATGACATATAATTTTATCATATAATCAAACTTTGTTATTGTCTTAATAATATTTTGATTTTAAAAAAAATGTACACATAACAACTTATTCGTATATAATCTTAACTCCGCCTACTTGAAAATTATGAAGCCTGTCTCAATCCCGATTTTCTGGAATCTAAGCAGGACCCCCAATCCGCATCAGTAAATACATGCAACTGTAATGAAGAACCAGCTGACAACAGAAGACCTTTGCCTGGAGTACCCTTATTATATTGCAGCAGGTGATGTACTGCTGTTAACTGCGGTTTTCTAGGCTGAGACACATATTGATTGAGTTTATGCACAGCAAATGTAATATCTTGCCTGGATATTGTGAGATATAGCAACCTACCAACCAATCTCCTATACATAGAACTATCCTTCAACAACTCTCCCTCAAAAGAGTTCAATCGAACTTTGCAATCCATAGGTAAAGCTGCAGGTTTGCAGGCAAGGAACCCTGTATCTTCCAGCAACTAAAGGGTGTAATGCCTTTGAGATAAGACAATGCTTTTCTTAGAATGAGCAATTTCTAAACCAAGAAAATACTTGAGTTTCCCCAGATCTTTCAGTTTAAATTGTTGATGTAAGGCTAATTTCAACTGATTTATAACTTCTAAGTTGGCTCCAGTGATAACTATATCGTCTACATACACAAGAAGAGCAACAAAACTCATTCCAGCACTTCTAGTGAACAAAGAATAGTTTGATTTCGATTGTTGAAAACCTTGGAGTAAAAGAGCTTTAGAGAACTTAGAAAACCATTGTCTTGAAGCCTCCTTCAACCCATAAATGGACTTATGTAACTTATATACCAGACGCCTCCCTGAGTATGAGAAAAGATGGGAGGAATATATCACAAAGGTAAGTCCATATAAATTTCTTCAAACAAATCACCATGAAGAAACATGTTGTTGACGTCCAGCTGAATGATATGCCATTGATTTATGGCTGCAACTGCTAATAAAAGCTTCACAGTCACTAACTTTTCTACTGGAGAGTAGGTTTATAGAAAATCAAGTCCTTCTTGTTGAGTATATCATTTCGCTACTACTCGTGCTTTGAAACGATCAACAGCCCCATCTGATTTATACTTAATCTTGTAAACCTACTTACAACCAGTAGAATGCTTTCCTGGAGGTAACTTGGTGATGGA